ACGTGTTATGTGTGAACGGAAAACGTTTCAGTGGCGTATGTGTGTGTGTGTGTGCATTTTGAAAACGAAACGTAAGCAAATCAGCTGTTTATATTGCGGAAGTTGAGCGCGTGTCAAAAGAAAGCAAGTGACGGGGAAGTGTGAGTGAAGAATGCCAATACGAAACTTATTTGGGTTGGTAGTTTTGAAAATTATGTGAGAAATGGTTGAAAAATTAAAAAATAAGTATTAAAAAAAATTTTTAAAATAAAACATAAAAAAAGTAACAAAATATATAATATGAATATTATATACATAATATACAATATATATATATGTATATATACATAATAAAATAATAATAATATATATATTTAATTAAATTTAAAATCAATTAAATTATTTCTGGTACAAAAAATATTTTTTTTATAAAGAAAACAATACCAAAAACAATTATTTGGTACTACTAAAAAATTCAATGAAAATAAAAATGCAATACTATTCAATAAAAAATTAATAAAATATACTTTATAAAAAAAATTAATATACTAACAATTAAAATTAAAACAACAACACCCAAACAATATTATTTCGCACTTTAAAACAATACTAATTGAAATACCAATATAGAAAAAAAAATAAAAACAATTTCGAACAATTGGTATTTCCCTTGAATTACTGTCCGTTGTGTATATTGCAATCGAAATTTCACAATGTCATCTATCGTGTTACCTTTATGGAAGTTTTCGCAACTGAAAAATCAAAACAAAAAGGCAGCCACACAGTTTTTAAAATTTGTACTCAAACGAATATGCAAAGTATTTGCGTCATAAGTTCATATACACATTGGTAGTGTGTTTCTACTACGAAGTGTTGCAACAACACGAAACATGCGCTCCCTACATGGACACACACGCACACCCGCACTGAATTATGGCACCCACACTCTCTTTTAGCAAGTTTACATACATTGCGCTTAATTTTTTGCCTTTTGAGGATCATTATGAACTGTTTGTGTTTCTATGTGGGTGAGTGTGTGTGTACGTGTGGCGAGCGCTACACATTTAGTGCTCAGTCAGCATCGAAAACAGATGTCACAAGAATTATGGCACAATAGGCGAATTTTGTTGACTTTAAAGAATATTTAATATATATTATATCTAATATTTTTGCACTAATGAATTTTTTGCTCCATTTGCTTGTATGTACATATGCATTCATTTGATTTTCGCTAATAAGGGACATTCTTTGTATATATTGGCTTGCAAACAAAAAAAGCTTGGAGTAAAGTTTGCTTCCTTTTAGAAAATTTAAAAAAGATTCCAGTTCTTTTCAAAATTATTTGTAAAAAACCAAAAATTAAATTAAAAAGAAAAAATTAAATCAAAAAAACAAATAAAATAAAAAAAAAAAATTAAAAATTTAATAAAAAATAATTGAATTCTAAAATTCATAATTTACAATCCAAAAAAAAAAAATATTAAAAAAAATTTTAAAAATATAATGAAAATTTCAATATAGTTTTAAAATTTTTTCTTAATTTATAGTTTTTCTCATACTCAACATCTCCTTAGTCATAAGGCTACGATGATATTACTAAATACCTTACGAAGCAATACATCGTACTTTTAATGTAAATTTTTTTTGAATATTGTTTGAACTAAATTTGAGAGTATTTTATTCCAAGCAATTTTGCACTATTAGATTGCAGAAATTGCTCCATGTTTCATTTCATATTTTACATATATAAAAATTAGTATGAAGCAATACTATTCTTACAATTTTATGATTATTTTCTTGTCAGCGTTTTTGTTCTTTCAGCTCCTATATGTAGGCAACATATTAATTTTTAACTTTCACAAAATGCCAAACCTCATTATACCCTAAAAAGGGTATATTAAGTTTGCATAACACAGAACCCTATAAAATATATACATGATGAGCATGACGAGCTGAGTCGATTAAGCCATGTCCGTAGGGCCGTCTTTCTGTATATACCGAACTAGTCCATCAGTTTTTGAGATATCGATTCGAAAATTTTCACCTGTCCTTTTCTACCCAAGAAGCTGCTCATTTGTCGCGACCGTCGTTATCGATACTATAGCATATAGCTGCTATACGAACTGATTCATACTTCTTGTATGGAAACTTTTTTATTTGTGAAAAGTATTCTAACTGCAGTGCAAAGTTAACGTTTTTTCTTGTTTCAATCTATTGTTGTCGCTATGAGATAGCCTAAATGTAGGCAACTTTTTAATTTTTTTATTCCTTCTCACAAAATGTCAAACAATTCTCAATTTTATATATTTTATCGAAATTTTTATTTTTAAACTTGCAAAATTGTATGCTCTAACAAATTTTAGATTTAGAGGGTCGGGGAGTGATACCCAAAATTTTAAAAAAGAAAAAAATTTCTAGAGAAGTACTTACATTATTAATTTGAAAAAAAAATATATATATTCCAACATCATTCCCTTATTATCGCAAACTTAACAAATATACACATCCTTTCGATATTGGAAACAAATTTTTTTGCTATAAAAAAAATTAACATTTTTTTTGAGAATGGTACGATTCCCCAGATGAGGTAAAATATTTTTCTATAGTTTTATTAAATTATAATTATATTTTGTTGTAAAATATTTACCAGCAAAATGTACTAAAATTTAACGAACACTTAATTTAGAAAATTTTCGAAAACTGCATTTAATATGTTTACTATTTAGCAAAAAGTTTTTCATTAATAAAAATTGAGAAGAAGATAAATTATATTACTATCACCACTAAAGACATAAATTTAGCAATAAATAATTTGTGAACGATTTTAGCTGTATTTAATTTGCTTCCTCATTTTGCCCAAATTGCCCACAGTTCACCGTTTTAGTTTGCATGCCAGCCATGTGGCTTGGCCGTCTGCTGTACTTTCTCTCAATCAATACAGCTGATTTTGTATACACGCTTTGTTGTTATTGTTGCATTCAAATTACAATAAACAACCAAATTGACTAAAGATTCTTTGATTGTGTTATGTAGCTTTTTTTCCAACTTATTTGTTTACTCATAAAAGAGAGCTTTAGAATATGCCGACATAAAGAATTGAGCATTCTGTTACACTCACAGAGAGTTACACATGTACATATATTGTATTTTATTGTGTTTTACTAATAATGTGTAAATTATGAAATCACAAAATTTTGTACTTACAAGGGTAGGTGATAGAAGAACGGAAAATTATTTCAGTTCGAAGATTTAAACTCAGAATGTAGAAAAATTGTTCATTTAAGTATACTTTTAGGATTGCATAACGGATGTTTATGTAGATTCGTAAAAGGTATTTTTAAGCCCTTTTTATGGATGTGGTATCCATCACTTTGTTGGGTTCTCACGTTTTTATGTCAGAACCCGAAGCAAGCAGCGAAAGTTTATACACCAATCGGAAGATTTTAATCTCGAATAACTTAAATAGTATGTATATTAACTATGGTGGATTTGTAGTTTATATATGACAAATGAAGAGAGATTGGAACGTTGTCATCTGAAATTGCATTATATGACTTTTTTAATTTTTCATTCATAAATTTAGTTGAAAATAATCTCACTTTTTTTTTAAAATTTCTTAACAAAAAGATTTTGAAAAAATTGAGTCATCAAGTTTTTTCTTTTCATAATTGGGTTATCTTTCTTTTTACCCGTACAGAGAAAGGTGGAGTAATTTCAAAACATATGATTCTAAAGTGGATACGTTGATCTTATAATGCTGAGAAAACGAATATGCTAAGTTGTTTCCAAGACGGTTTTCGATAATTACAAACAGAGAAAAAAAGTAACAATCGTCTCTAGATTCTAAAATCAATAAAAAAATAAATAAAATTAGGATTGAATCGAATGCTATTAGAATGTTTGACATAAGCTATGGTAATACAGTTGATGAAACGCAAGTAAAAATTCATCGACCAGAGGATCACTAGTCCCGGGGGATCACTATGTTCTCTATAGATGACTTTATTACTTCTGAAATTGCGTTTATCGTTCTTAATATACTGCTTCATTCCAATACTATCATTGAAAGGGAAGATAAATTTGTTGTTGAAGCCTAAAGTTATGCTATGTTACTTTGTCTGCGGTTAGGTTTGTTAAGAACCACAATATACCCAATTGCTTTCTAGTGATTTGTCTTCTGACATTTGATGAGAAGTTAATTAATATTTTTGCAAATAAGCAGTCGGGGATTAACGGAGTTAGTTATTGGAAAGCTTTGATTTCATATTGAAATATTATAAAGTAGCCAATATAGGTCTAAATAATTAATGACACTTAAGAATATCACAACATACATACATATATGATGAGTCATGACAGATTGCACTGTGGGCTAAACTTTGACTTTGCGAAATTGCTCACTTTCATACTTATGTTCTGTAGTGTATAGGTATGTACATACATATGTAGAAAGAAAAGCTTCCCATTTTCGACCGACTTTGGGTTCTTTGTTTCACTGAGGGCAGCGACTTTTTTTCATTATTTTGACGCTTTTTTTTTAAATTTATCACGGTGTCTTTGATTTTAAACATTTTCACTTATGGTAGTTTATTTTCATCAACTTTTGGCTTTGTTTCATCATGGGTGAGTGTGTATTTGAGTGTGTGTGTGCGCGGACGTTCTGAGAGCACCTCGGTTGGTATTTCACGTTGTGTGCATCTCGTAAAGCATTTCTTTGTAAACTTTACGCTCACGCTTACGCAGACACTAAGAAAATGCTGCAAAGAAATTGAAAAGCTCTCCATTGTTGATGTATGTACAACAACACTAATGCGCATGTGTGTGTATATGTGTTTATGACACTATCAGAATGCTCTATTGCCTTTGTTGGCTTTTACTTTGATTTTGCTTCGTTCTGTTTCTTCTTTGACTTTGCTGGTTTGGTGTGCTGCTGCTGCTTCTTCTTCCGCAGCTTTGACGTTGTGATTTGCTTTTATCAATTTTGTGTTAAAAATTGTGCAAGTCAAAAATTAATTCAAAACGTTCGTAGTTCCCCTAACGGTAAGACGCGCTGCCAGCGTTGTGCCACGAGTTTAAAATAAATTTACGAGATATTCATACAAGAGATAGATGCAGGTTCGTGGTGCATGAAAGGTGAATAAAAATTTCAAAAAAAAAAAAATTATTGGTAAACTGAAAACGGGAATTTTTTTATACGTAAGCGTGTTAATAACGGGAATTTTGTTTGTTCATTGAAATATAATTAAGTATTTGAAGTAAATAATTTTCGTTATTTTTTTTCATTTCAAATATAGTGTTTTGCTTTCGAAGACTGCTGTCTTATGCCGTAACGTAACGCTGCCAGCGTAAAGTGCAGTATGCCATAAGAAAGCATATTTTATAGTGAATTATTCAAAATATGTAAATAGCACACTTTTTCCGTGCAAAGTTCGAAAAGGTCAAGTGAAGTGAACTCAGCAGCAAAAAGTGTTGCATGCGAGAAAAATATTCTAAACGAAAAAATAAAATTTTGAATGGCCACTGGTCGCAGTTAGAGCGTAGTTGTCATTAATGAATGTGCAACAACAACAATAAAAGAAATTTTACAAAACACAAAACGAATTTGTTGTGTCAACAACGGCAGTCAGTTGCAGTCGTCAGGCGAAGTGGACGCGCTGTTTGTTGTTAGCCTAGATCTTACTAAACGAAGATAAATATCTACATATCTGTCGTATCGATATTCATACTTATGTATGCACGAGTATGTACGTGTCTCTAATAATAGTGCAAAGTGAAAGCGGCAAGAATTTTTAAAGAATTTAACTAATAATCGAAGCGATAAAAAGTTATAAAGCAAAAGAATGCAAAAAGAAGTAAAAGGTTGAAGAAAGTTGAGATAAACATTTGGTAAAAAATATAAAAAAATTGTAAAATACTTCTTAAAAAGAACAAAAACAACAAACGACAAGTAGAAAACGTGAAGAAAGCATCGCTTAATTAAATCAACGGTTTCGTTTATTATACTTTGTCTAAAGGTTGAGACTTGTTTTGTTTCGTTTCCACAACGTTTCGGCGTTGACATACATAACACAGACGCTGAACTTTGAGATTAACGATGATGTGTGCTTTGTTTTGCACAATTAAATTTCATTTTGTATGCAGTCAGTGCAAATGTAAACAATGGCAGTGAAGGTGATTTGAAATCAGCTGGTTTTGGAGGCAGTGCAAACTGGGATTTAGAAAAATAAACAGAAAACGAAATAAAGAAATTTAGAAACAAAAACTTTAATTTATTTAAAATAATTAAAGTAATAAAATTTTAATTAAAAAATTTGAGAAAACTGAAATATTAAAAACTAAAATTAATTACAAAAATTAAAAAAAAAAATTTTAAATTAAATTAATTAAAACTAAAAATTAAAATAAAATCGATTAAAAATTTGTTTTAAAGTGAAAAAGTGTACAAAGCGCCTGCTTTTGCTTAAAACGCAGAAACTGTCGAAACAGTCAGTGGCAATAAAATTAAAAACAGCAAAAAAGCAATCGCATACACTCATAGAATTTTCGTAGAAATCCCTAAATAATTGCGCTGACGTCAGTCTGTGTGGCGCGACAACGTGCGCACCTATAAACACATACTTACACATGTGCTTATTGTTGTTAGTACGTACTTAACTATGTACTATGTGAGCAGAGATTTGCACTCGTTTTGCGCAGAAAAGGCAACGTTGAGCCAATTGTTATAGGAATAAATGAAAATAATTCACTTAAATCGCCACTAAATGTGGAAAATGCTAGAAAACGTGTCAAAATCACAAGTAGACGAAAGTAAATAATAACAGAAAATAATAAAAGCCAAGAAAAAACTCGCCAATTATTTAAAATTGATTTTGACTCGTGTTTTGTGCAGTTTTTGTTGTGAAATGCACTCGAGTTGTTAATATTATTGTAAATTTATGACGTGCAAATAAGGCGACAAATCAACACGGTAAATATTTTGCACAATTATTCAATATTGACATATTTACCTATATGCTTGTAGGTATATATTAGGGTGGTGCAAAATACAGTTTTTTTTTTGCTCAGCTTGAGGGTAAAATCTGTAGATTATAAAAAAAGAAAATTTTTGGACAAAAAAAAACTTTTTTTTTAATATCTCAGTTTTAAAGTAAAGTTTCGAGTTAAAATTTTAATTTCCTAAAAATTTTTTTATAAGTTTTCTAGAAGCTGTGAAGAGTCCTCTTTCTGACCAATTGAAAGTTATCAACTTAAAAAAAATTTTGTGGTCATTATTGGAGTCCTAAAAAGTCTTAAACGACAACATGCTTTCCTCAAGCGTTAAAATAAATTTTGAGTCAAAAACCGTCTCATCGGTAATTTTTATATAAATATATATATATAAAATAATTAGAACTTGAAATGTACTTTAAAACTGAGATGTTAAATACATTTTGTTTTTGTCCAAAAACTTTTTTTTTTTATAATCTACAGATTTTACCCTCAGGCCAAGCAAAAAAAAAATTTTTTTTCGCTCCACCCTAGTGTATATGTAACTTATAAGCTATTTGTTTTAAGTACTGAAGTGTATTTGTAGAAATGTGGACACTAGTGTACGACTAAGCGAAAGCGATGGAATTCAAAAGACAGTTAGAAAAATTGGATTTAAAAATTAGTTTGCAGTTTTTATAAAATAAATAACTGGTGTTCAGTATAAAATACAATTATATGGAGTTTTCATGTGGTTTTCAAGCAGAAATAAAACGCATATAATTTAATGTTATGGCAAGGAATTTAGCTACATTATAAAGAAAAGTGTTTGCCATTATATTTTAAAAATGATTTCGGGCAAGTTACCGCTGCGGCTGGCTCCAATAAATTCCAGGCGAAAGGCCTAATTTTCTTCACTAAATTAATGGCTTCCTTGGCTGTATGGCATGTAGCGCCAGATTGACGGTACCAATCGTCGTCCACATCAACATTCTCTAATTCAGGCACGAAAAAGTCATTTATCATGGCTATATAGCGTTCAATATTGACTGTAACGACGATTCCCTTGTCCATAGAGCAAGCCAAATAGTGACTTTTTGAGAACATAACGGCATCTCAGCAATGGCTAGTGGATTGTCAACACTCTAAATACGATAATTTTGTTTATTAGCGTAACAAAAATTGAGCTTCATTACAGAAGAAATTTTTCTTATGGAAATCGAGATCGGTGGCTCATTTACCAGAACGTTGTTTATCTTTCAGCTGTCATTCTAGCACGGATGGATTTTGTTAGACCGCAAAGCTAGATCTTTCCGCAAAATCTTTCATAAAGTGGATGGGCACAGAGCCAATTGTTGCGCGCGATGGCGGATGGACTCATTCGGGTCTTTTTTGATATTTTGCTCCACAGCACCAATCGCGTCTTCAGTGCGCACTGTACACCATCTCTAAGAATGCGAATTATCAACTAGAGTAAATCTGTTGTGAAACCTCGCTATGCTCGCGAATGAAACAATTATTTTGGTAATAAATTTGAAAAATTTGCAAACGTTGTTTCAGAGTAAGTCTGTTCATGGCAAACCAAACTGAGTATAAATCAAGTAACAGCTGTCAAAACGACCAACTTCGAAAAAATGATTGCCTCATTGAAAACCACACCTCTTAAACAACATCCATTATAATCAGCGATGCCTTTGGTTTATGCTTCCTTGGTAGACATATAATTGTCTACCTATATTTATTGTTTATAATCATTCCATGAGAGAACAATAACACAAGTCTTAGCTATCTTTCTAATGCTAACATGACAACTTTTGAGCACAGTTTGCTCCACTTTTATTTATTATCTTTATAAATATTAGATTTCGTTTTTGAATTTTCTTTATACATTTTTTTTATACCCCATTAATACATTTTTTATACATAAAAATCTATATAGGTATATATTTTTTATATAAAAAAAATTGAAAATTATTTTTTTTAATTTCAGAATATATCAATTTTTCTGACGCGAAAAACCTCTTACGTGCAGTCATTTTGAAGCGACAGCACTGCCAAGCAATATAAAATATTTCGCAAAGCAACGCCAAATCGATAAATAAGCGCATACTATGTACAAATTGCAAATTTGGTCCAAACAAACACAACAAAAATCATCAAAATTAATTAAACGACCAAAACAACAACAACACCTAAAGCAAGAACCACCGCCTCAAACAACACGCGAATTGCATCAATTGCAGCGGAAAATACGTGCAACAAAAACAATTGCAACAGCAACTACACAGTTTGCCAGCAAGTTAGAAAAAGCAACAAGTTCATACAACAACAACAGCAACAAGCAATTACTTTTATATTATATACACTTGTTAAACGCTTATCAGCAACAATTGCGCGCGTTTAGCAATTTATTGCATTTGATCACACATTTCCTGCAAAGCAGACGTGCGCATCAGCTGATCGAAAGGTCTGAGCTGAGATATTTTATCGATTATACATAGCGAAGCGATAGTTGCGTGGCGATCGAAAGCAGCGACCGACAGCAGCAGCAGCAACGACGCAATAACAATACTTTTGCGACAACGTCAACAGCCCCGTTAATTAACGGCACAGAAGAAGTAGTAAAATAAATCAATTTTATTTTCCTACAAACAAAACAAATAAAACTTAAAAGAGCAGACACAACGCTTTCGCGAAACACAAGGGAACGAAACGAAACACATTGGCACGCAGTGACAACGACACATAGCGACGCCATGAATATCGATAGTCCGATTTTTGTGCCGCGCAATAACGCGCCAATCGTCTCCACGCCGGCGGCACAGCTCAAGGTGTCGGGTGCACCACTGGTGGACTCTAAAGTGCCCAAGTCCCCGTCGGCTCTAGGCATCACAATGCCACCCATTGCAGGCAAAATCACAGATAACAACAATTTTAAGCACAACAACAACAATATGGGCGGCTATTGGCCTCTCTTCAACAATGCCGCGGCATACTATCCATGCGGCATTAGCGGCAAATATTTGCAATTTTGCCAGCAGCAACAACAACAACAGCAGCAGCAATATATGCAACACTTTTTGCAGCGTCAAAGAACTTTGCCGAACTTTCACAATCAGTGGACGCAGAGGAAAAATTTAAATGCCGCAATCGGCCAGCGACAACAGCAGCAGCAACAACGTAAGCAAATAACAAAAACGACAGCAGCAGCAGCAATATCGACGGAAATGTCTGCACAGCAGAATCAGCAGCGGCGTAAGAAGCAGAAAATGCAACAACAAAAACAACAACAAACGGCGGAACTACGGCAACAACAACAAGTGAATATTACAAAATTTCCGATTGCGAATAAAACAACGGATTCGCTTTCGCCGAAGTTAACAGTTGCAACAACAACAACAATCTCAAACCAAGATACGTTGTTGTTGTTGCCAGCAGCTGAAGAAATTATCAACATTACTGTTGTAAACGACTATAATTTAAACAGCAATAATATTGTTATCGACAAAAATACAATTTCGAACAACAACAACAAAGTGGATGAAGATATCAATATGGCAACACTTGCAATAATAAGTAATGGTACAACCGCGTTGCCAAACCAATCAACTCAATTGGTTGAAGAGGCGGAAATTTCGACAAAGAAAGGTGAGTGTTAACCTTCAATGAACCGTTAGCTAAATATAACCAACTTAATTGAGTATGTCTGTATAAAAAATATATTTGGGTATTGTTCTGGATATATTACAACATCCATCAGATGTTACATCACTTGATTACGAACGTGATTGCAAGTCTTTTCCTGGTTTACGAAATAATTTCTAAATGAAATATAGTCTCAAAATTATATTTTCTAATTGTAAACCGCTAACTATAGATTAATTCCCGAATCCCCTGTCACATTAGGTGTGCGCCTTAATCAATATACTTGTATACTATTAGTTGGTGGATGACTTCGCTAACTGTCAAACCTTTCCTTTGAGCTACTTATCATGTGCTATAATGCCTCTGTGATTTTGGCTTAAAAAGTATCACTAAAGGTATTTAGAAATAATATAAGAGGCTCAATATTTTTCCATTTTATATAGGTTTTCTAGGTTCTAGACATTAAGATCATTTAACTAACTAGTATATATTGACCATTAGGTACATAGTATTTCATTACAGCAACAAATCGTTACCAATCTATTTACGGTAGACGATAAGCTAACACAGCGGTGTATGTCAACATCCTCATACTTTTTTAACACTCATAGAAGAGAGAGAGAGAGAGAGCGGAGGAGGAGAAAACATTTTTTAGATGATATTCACCGATTTCATGGTTTATAAACATTCGGATGTATTCTTTTCTCTTTCGCATAAGTAAAAACTGTACAGAATCAAGTTTAAAATCATACACTTAGGAATATCACCACATAGAATCGCCGCAATCACCACCAATTTAATTAAAAAAATATTTTATTTATAATTGCGGTTTTTTTTTTTGATAATTATTGTATGAGTTCCCTGCAGTTTAATTTTGTTTGCGATAACTTTGTTTATTCGCTATTTTGTAGAGTCATCAAAACATTCTAAATTCCAGATAACGAAGTTTAAATAAACAAATGCTAATGCAAGTGCATATAAATAAAATTCCGCAAAACCACAACAACAATAATAACAATAGCAAACGAGGTGAGATTTTATGATTTGATGCCTTTTAATGACTTTCAACTGGTTTCGGCTAAATTGACAAATGCTCGAGTTGTTATAGTTATTGTTGTAGGTGATTAAGTATCTAGTTGTTGTTTTTGGCATTTATGCTTGCTTTCACAGGTTATTACACTAGCCGTCTGCACTTATTTACCTACATACTTATTTGATTGTGCTATTCAAAAAAAATGTTATCAATGTATGTGTGTGTGTGTGCGCCATAGGTACAAGTTACAGTGGTAGGTGTATAACACATGTGTGTTTGATTTTGCGTTTGCATTTGCAAACTGCCATTTGATAAAAAAAACTCTAAATTAATCAATACCAGTTAAATAACATAAAAAAGCAACACACCTCTGCGCGCTCAAACTCACACACAGGCATAAATATAAACGTATAGGTATGTACCGCTAGCCTATTTGAGTCGCAAAGGGGTGTTTGCGACTCAAGGTCAACGCATGGCATTGAACTTGCAGTTGTTGGTTAAGGTTGCTGCTTGTTTTCGAGGTCAAAACCCCACAACCACCATCGGCGAGCACTCAATGCCAGCAAACACTACTCGCGAAAGCCGAAATAGCTGTCGGGCGCACGACCACACACAACCAAGCGGGTAGTTGGGCAAGAGACGGTGGCGCAAAAAATGGCAGAAGAAATGAGATAAAAATAATAACAATAATAGTCATAACAGCCAGCAATCATGTGTAACCACAAAACACCAATAACAAACAAAAAAAAATGGTGCTAAATATCTTCCAAACGTCGGACAAACGCTTAAAATAGCAAAGTCTTACAAAGAAAAACTAAAAAAATATTTCGTTAAGTCCAAAAATAATAGACTCTAAGACAAAACAAATTTTTTAGGTTGTTGACTGCGCGGCCTGTAGCGGATGTGTTTTGCTCGGTGCTAGGTACACCTCGGCGCAACTGCATAGTAGCGGTAAAAACGAGTTCGCTAAATTTGTTTAGAATGATTTTGCAATACACATACCGTCGAACAGTGAGCAGCTGAGTGAAAGATAAAAACATATATAATATAAGTATAAAGTAAAAAATATAAGTAAAAGCAACAACAATTTGAAGAAATGAGTTCATTGCACTTGTAAAGCAAAGACAAAGCTTCGGAGAAAAAGTAGCGAAAGAAAACCAAAACAAAATGAGTTTGATATGAAAAAATTAAAAAATGATAAGAAAAAATCAAAAAATAAAAAAAGCTCTAAACCAAAAGCTCTAAACCAAAAGCTCTAAGCTGAAGTGTGATAAACCACACGTTGATTGCGTCGCAGGCCTCCTTATATTGTTGTGTTTTTTCCTCCATAGTTTGAATATGTCAATTAAATGGGTCAGTAGCCTATATGTTCACAAATTAATTTCATTAAAAAATATTTTTTATGGCGTCATTGCGCTTTTTTTTACACACAGTGGCGCCGAAAACTTTTTTGATTTGGGAAGAAGTTTCATATTTATATTTTATAAAATTTGCCATGGAATCAAGAGATTTTAGGTGTTAAATAATTTCTTATTTTCAAGGAAAAAAGAATTAAATAAATTCCAATTTTTAGTGGAGAAACTTTTACTTTTACTCTCTGCGCGCTGCGCGCTTAAATGTAGGCAACAATTTTATCGTCAGATTCCAATGGTGGTATATGGAATTTTTTCAATGGAAATACGAAATAGATATAAATTGACTTACCAACATATCGTTGCTTTTGTGATGATAACTGTAAAAAAAAGTTTTAAGTGTAATTAGCAAAAAGTTCTCGAGCGCTCTGGAATGGAATTAAAACTCTTTTTTTCTCAAAACTAAGTTTTTTTTAACTGGTGACCATTGTAGCTCAAAAATCGCTAGATAAATTTCAATGAAATTTATACAATTTTTTGAAAACATGAAAAACTAGTAGTTATCGAATGGCTTTTTCAAGTTCGGTTTTTTATAAATAATTTACTGCACCACAAGGTGCTTTGGTTGGAACTAGATCAACACAAACAGCCATTATCTTTCAAATTATTAATTTTTTTTTTCAAATGCTGTCAAGTCAAGTCAAAACCTCATTTATTTATTGTCAAAAAAATATATTAAAAATTGTAATTTTTTCATGTTTTTGTGTACAGCTAAGAAATTTGATACAAAAACTAGGAAATTCAGCTCATAATTTCGTCTAATTACATACGTGTACTAAGCTAAGTTCCCGAGGTGAAAATTAAAAAAATGTATTATATATTGAGACAAATATACCCCATTTCAACCCCCTCTATATGTCACAACACTGTATTGTTATTATTTTTCTTGCTTTAATCGTCTTACACACACGTCACAGAGACTCGCGTTCACATAATTGCATACTACATTCGCACAAACTTCTAAATAAAATAATATATATGCCAATATATTTATAGCTACGAACTTGTTGCTTGAAGCATTTGACCTGTTTTGTTTAAGAATTTGAACACAAACATGTGAACAGTAAGAACAACACATACGCCTTTGCAAGTGACAAGATTTTTAGGGCTTTGAATATGCCTGCGCACATAATAGCGATAAGCTAACAACACAGACGACATTCATTACCTCTTGGAGAGTACTTGTATATATTGTATATTATTATATGATAGTATATTCCACTGACCGACTACTCGGTCTATATCTGCCGGTATTTTGACTTAATTAATTGTTTTATGCATACATTTTTTCATATTCTTGAGTTTATTGACCGGCATTTACTACGTAGTCCATTAATATAATGCAGTTGCCTTGTTTATGAATTAATGAGTACACATTATAATTTTATGATTGTAATCCTAAATAATAAAGATATTGTTTCAGACATAATAAAGATATTTAATTTAAATATTATATGTACATGTTTATCATTGTGTAGAATTTCTAATCTGAGGGTTGGCATAAAGACAGATAAGGTTTACAAATTTCTTCCAATTATCTTTTTATCTTCTAACATGAAGTCACATCTTGAGAGAACATACAAATCTCTTTCAAGATTACTTTTATTTGAAAATATTTTGGCAGGGTCTCAACCATCTTTTTGTACTATATGTACATATTCGTCCATATCTATATTCGCGCGGTTTGCCAAGTGATGGCGTAACTTGATTATTATTCCATATTTCCAATATTCCGAACATGCGTTGGAAAGTCATTGTCCTTGTGCGTCTTTCTCACTGAAATACGGTATGCAACAATATATGTCGAGCTTTGTGTCTGAAAAAAGTGATTCTGTGGGGAGTTCTGCTTCATTACTTTAATATGAAGAAAAATTAGCCGAAAGTCAGCGTATTTTGTTGGAATGGTTAATATGCTTTCGCTTTTCAAAATTGATTTTTACGATTTAAAAGTGGTGAGTTTCACTTGAAAGAGGGAGAACGTCCTCGGCGGCCAATACAGTTTGAGGTTGAGGAACTGGAAGCATTACTCGATGATGTTTGTTGACAGAGCTCGCAGATTCTTTGGGAGTTTCTTAAGTGGCCATTTTAAATAATATAAAAGCAGACGGATACACTCAAAAGCAAGGAAATTGAGTGCCATATAAATGAAGTCAAGAGATGTTGGAGAGACATTGGAATTGAATCCATTACGACAACTCTAAAAACAAAAAAATTTTGAAAGCTTAGAACATTCAGCCAGCAATTATTAATTTCAAATTCGAAAGCTTTAAACTATGTTTAAGCAGAATATTCCTCTCCCTCTTTTTAGATTCCTAACGGCACCATTATCATTAAAATTTATTCATGAGTGGAATTTAAGACGAGATTAGTCTAAACATTTTTTAAACTCATTTCTCAAGAAAAGCTTGTAAAACCTTAATATGTAGATGTTTATATATGTTAATATGTATGTAGGTATATATGGACCATAGGTATACGAGTACTTTTCACTTGGAGTGACATTCATCTGTATAACTATTTGTGGTTGAAAATATTGTCGTTGCTACCAGCAAAGGCAC